TTGGTCTCTTATTAGTCTAGCCAGTGTACCTTCTTATGGCTGCTGTTGACAGGATATCTGGTTTTTGTTCTTTCACAAACTTATGGATCTACTTCTGAAAGCAGTATGTGTTCAGTGGAAACTATACTTCAAAGTTTGAGCTGTGGTCTTCTCCTGAGCTACTGACATATGGGTTCAGCATTTCCCATGTGAGCAGCTGTGAACCACGTTGCCATTCAGCCACACAGTCACAAGGAGAAACATCAGGCCTCTAAGCTGTGTTGCTGATTCAGGATATTCAGTAGGGTGGTGTAGCAAATACATATCCAATTTAGGATATTTTCCATTTTTGAATGAGATCCTTGTTCTGTTGGAAGTCAAAGAGCATCCATCTATATTTTCAATTTGTTTATGTCTCTGAATCTCATGTGTGCCTCCTTACTTAGCATAGTTAAATCTCAGCTGGGGATTTTTGTTAAATGCAGTCTGGTCATCTCGACCTTTCAGATAATACTGCTATAAATAAGATGAATTTGAGTATGTCCTGTTTACTTTTTCTTTTTTGTTGCATGCCTGTTCATTTCTCTAGTCTTCTTTATTTTATATTAAGTGAATATTTACTAATACAACATTTTAATTTCATTAATGATTTTTCATGCTTTCAAATTTTATTACTTTAATGATTATTATAAATTATCTTATCAGAACATAATTCTGATTTATAGTCTTATAAAAAATTGTTTCTCATATAATTCCTTTCAGCCTTTTAAATGTTATTTATAAGTATGTTAAAAAACCTAGCAACATAATATTATAATTATTTTCCATAATCTTATGTCTTTTAAAGAAACTCAATAAAGGAGAACAAGAAATAAATCTTTGTATTTCTAGAGTATTTATAGACTCCTTATTTACAATTTCCAGTTCTCTTCATTCTCAATGAGTTTTTGGCTTTCATAGAATTTTCCTCCATCTTTCTCTTGTTTGGCTATTGTCAAATATAACATTTCTTATACCTAATCACACAGTTATGTACATTTTAGCCAACTTATTTTAGTTAAGAAGAAAAATCCAATATACTTTATAATTAAGTAATTACTTCCTCTCATGTTGATATCTAAGATCTCTTATTAGAATTTGATTATTCCTTAGGAGACAGCTGATACCTATTGAGCAATAATTTTATTTTTGTTTTTGTTGTTTGTTTGTTCTAATCTGGGAACTCTTTTCTCCATTTTTGGAAGATAATTTTGCTGGATATGATTTTAGTTGGCAGTTTGTTTTGGCTTTGCTTTTTTCTGACGTTGCGTACCGTATATCCTGTTACAAGTGCGTTGATTCTGCTGAGAAGTCAGTTGACTCTTACTTGAATCCACTTGTATAATGACCTTTTTCTTTGGTGCTTTCAGAATTTCCTCTGTCTTTGACATTCAGTATTTGCACTTGTGTATCTGAATATGGGTTGTCCTTTGTGACATAGCAGTTTACTATAGTTAGAATTGTTTCATTTTTTGAATGTATGAATGTCTCTCACCAAACTTGGGAAATTATTAACCATCATGCTTTGGAACATTTTTCTAGTCTCTACTATTGCCTTTGCCTTGTGCTTTCTGTACATGTTAATGTGCTCAACAGTGGACCATAATCCTATGAGCCTGTGTTCACTTTTTATTTTTCTCTCTGTCCTTTAGAATGTGTATATTTTTTAATAGCTTCAAGTTTACTCATACTGGTTCATATCTGCCCTTGAGCCCTATGGTGAAATAATTTATTGAAGCTCCTTTTCAGCTGTAGAATTTCCTTTTGTGTATATTCTTTGTCTCATTGATATTTTTTTGATGACTAAACGTTATTGAATAACTTTCTTCCTTCCTTTAAGCAGGATTTCCTTTAGTTGAGTGTCTTTTTAATATCTTCTTTGATTTCTTTGCTTGCTAAGTCTTAATATCTGGACCCCTGTTGTCTGTTCTTTTGCTATGTATGGATTCCATCTTATTTCTTGCCTTATATTATGATATCTTCTTAACAACTGGGCATTTTAGATAGATAATAGAGCAAATCTAGATCCTGATCTTCCTCATTCACGCCCAAACTGACTTCTTGGTTGTTGTTTGCTTAGCAGCTTAGCAAGGTTAAGGCAGTAAAGACTGTTGCTCTGCATGGTGCCCTTAATATCATTCCTCAAAGGCATAGCCATGAGCTATGAGTGGCTGGTTGCATTTTGGTTTTTTGTGTTTTTCTTTCTTTAAATGGCTCTCCTCATTGTCTCTTTGCTTGATCTGATAGGTTCCTACCTGACATATCTTTCTGTTGTCACCACTCATGGTGTCCTTAGCCTTAGCACAATTCCAAATTGGGGATGAGGGTAGGGAGTGGGTAGGGGGCGGAGGGAGGAGGTTGTTTTGTTGTTTGGCAGGTTTTTTGTTTCTTTGGTTGAGGGGGGTTGTTTTGGTTTTGCTGGGATTTTTTTTTTGTTGTTGGTTGGTTGGTTTTGTTTTGTTTGTTTGCTTTTAGCCTCCGAAATCTGTTATGATTAAAGCCAGCCCTTGTAGTATAATTTTTTAATTCATCCTGGAGACATGCACTGACCCTGGGAAGATACTCCTTAACTCTTTCTCTCACTACTTCATCAGAGCCATCAGCCTACTCAAAATTGCTTACAAAAAAAAAAAAAAAAAAAATCCCAGTAGCACTTTCTTTTGGCTTCAATTTTCCCATCTTTGTTTCAAATAAATATATCCCTTTAAAAGAACATGTGTTCTTACAGCCTGTTTCACACTCTAGACAGAAACTGTGTTATTGCTTCAAAGCTGGTAAAGGAACAATGACTTGCTTTTCTTTTTCCTCTAATCTTCAGAAGAGTTTCTGTACAATGGTCATAGGTTACATTCCTCTTGACTTGCCTTTTCTAACAGACTTCTAGCCTATAAGTGATGGTGTGAGGGTAAAAATGAAGCCAGTATTCCCCTAGCAAGCAGTTTAAGCGGAAGTCCTACATTCTTCATGGCTTACTCTATAACTTGAACAGTACAGAACAGAAGAGAAGAGACTAGGACTAATTAGAAATGGTGGAGTCTTTTCTTCCTGGAAGAGCCATAGTTGTAGATTTGGAGCCATGGGGAGGGGAGCCCTGCTGTCTCACTCTCAGTTGGGCTTCTGTGAAACTCATATTCAGGAGTATGATACTGGGCAGGTAGTACTGGAGAAGAAGGGAACCTGGTACAGACTGTGGCTTAAATGCCAAGATTCCCTCAATACTTACGGAGAAGAGACTTAGACACTTTTCTAGGAAGGGGGAAATGGATAGATGTCCTTACTTGTCCTTGCACTTCTTTAGTCTTGTCACTTAAACTCATAGTTTTGCTTGGTTTGGTTTCCTACTATTTATTTCTGGTTTAGAATTCAAACATGCATCATGAATAGTTTCCCACCTTATTCACTGGCACAGTCTGGTCCAGGCTTTCATGTGTAGAGTCCATGGGAAATACGCCAGATATGCATAATTTAGATGAACTAGGTTATCAAAGAGAACTCCCACTGGAAGGGGAAAACTAGCATGTATAGTAAGATGTTTTTTGTATTTTAGTCACATCAACAAGTAGTGAATTCGTATAGGAAGCTGAGAGGTGAGTGGGTAAGCAGAAGGGCAAACCCAGGAAGCAGCACAACAAATGTAGCTTCAAATACCTTAGAGGTATTTGGTGAAATAGAAAAACTGGAGCAAAAATTTTCTAAGAATCCTGGTGCATAAAGAATACAAGGAAGCTTATGGCCTACCTGAGGTGTCTAACAGAAGACCATCTCAGAAATCCTATGGAGCCCCAAAAGGCTTCATTGTTAGAATGAGGTGAAGCTAGGAACTTACAAATAAAAATACCGATCTCAAAACTTACTGCTGAGATGTGTTATAGGTACTTCCCTCTGAGAATATAGCAGTGAACAGATCTCACATGAGCCTTACATGGGTGATCAAAGCCCTAAACCCGTTTGAAAAGCCTCTACTATGTCTTGTCCCCTAGTACTTTCTGTAATCAAACGGACATCATCCCTGAAAATACCTCTAAGATTTCCAGAAATAATCTTTCAATAATATTAAAGCTCACATTTAGAAATCATTAAATGCAGTTAAACCAAGGACCAAGAATAGGAGTCCTAGGGCTGGAAATACGACTCAGCAGTTAAAAGTGTTTGCTGGTGTCATTACCTATGTTAGTTAGGTGACCCACAAGTGCCTATAGCTCCAGCTCTGAAGGATCTGACTCCCTCTTCTGGTCTCCACAGGTAACAACATACATATGCAGATACACTAACACTAACATATAAATAAATAAGCAGTAAAACTCTCTTTACACTAGCAGCGTCAGAGTTGGACAGTGTATCTAGATCTCCTCAGGCTCTCTGATGTTAGAACTATTAGAGCATTAACAGAAGGCAGTTAAACTAATAGGTTTATAGACACTTAAGGGATCTAAGAAATCAGAATAGCAAGTGACTATTGAAATGTCCATACTGATGCTTCTAGAAATGTAAAGTGTAATGTAATATACAGTGGCTATAAGTCTAAAAGGACTTTACATACAGCTGAAGAAAGTTTGGTGAGCAAAGTTCAACATACAAATGTAAGAGTCTCCCACGGTGGGACTAACAGAGGATAACGTAAACTTGCAGGGTTATCATTCACAGTTTTCCCCAGGAAACCAAACGAAGCATACTCAGTGTGCTGGCAAAACAGATAGAGGCAGGCTATTGCAAGAGTGGGAACTGAAATTAAGGCCTTGCACATGGAGGCACAGCACCACTGAGCTAGGAGCCCAGCCTACCATGTGATTGCTTCAGTTACCAAGTCCATGTGCCAAAGGGCCTACAAGTCATTTGTAGCCATTTCTCTTTCACAGGAAAACTTGAAGGGAAAAGAAAAATCCCAGTTCAGTGACACCACAGTTAGCCTGTTAGTGACAACAGGTTTCTGTCCATTCCAGTTGGCTCTGATTTTGTGCTTTCTTCTTTTCTCTGTTTTTCAGTGGCTGCTTCAACCCCCAATTCCACTGCTGGTGCAGCCATGAATTCCTTGACCTCTCTTGGAACTCTACAAGGATTGGCTGGAGCCACTGTCGGATTGAATAATATTAATGCACTAGCAGGTACCATAAACAGTGAGTATTTGCTGCTCTGGTGGACAGCCTTCCCCTAAATTCTCTAGAAAATGGTCAGCCAGAATTGACCAAAAAAGGATATAAAATGGGGAGAACTAAAACTTGGGATGGAGGAGCACATGGTTCAACAGGCAGAAGCTTCCCTTTGATTTTATCTCTAAACCAACCACATCCTACCCCCAGCTTCTCTCCACTGAGTAGTATAAGCTCAAATCCTTAGAGTACCGTCGTTAGACAGTCTCAGGTTCTGAGGAGTTTGGTTTGGTTTTGGTTTCCTCGGCCCTCCTTCAAGGCAGGGTGTTGTAATAGAAAAGTTAATGGAGTGGAAGTTGGGAACCATATGTCCAGCTTTACTGCTGTTCAGCAGCAATAAGGGCTCAAGCACATTGCAGCTCCCTCTCTGGCCTACAGTCTCCACTGGAAAATTGAAAAATCTGGGTCAAATGATATTGAGGTGCCCTCCAGCTTGAAAACCAAAGTTTTCAGACAAGAACCTAGTCCCTGAAAAGCCAAAAATGAAACTGACTGACAAGGAGGTAGTGCAAGAAGGAGAGTCGTCTTTATTAAGAACCTAGAGCTGTGGAGTATCTACAGTAAAGACTGTATAGGCTGTCATTTTACTGTGACAGGCAACACAGGCCTTACACTTAATTCTGAAACAAGCTCACTCATTTAGAAAGGTGGCTGGCCTCTGCCCACACAGCTAACTGTTCTGTTGTTCAGGTGCATGTGGGAATAATGCCCAGGCCTGAGGATGAGTCACACTTGAAGATCATCTTGGGTGTGGGCTTTTGCACTAAGAAGACTGAGCATCAGCCACTAGGAGGACAGCTAACTTGCCTATCCATCCATTTGGTCACCCGGTTGCCCAGGAGATCCATAACAGCCAACAGAGTGTCTGCATTGTGGACCTAGTTGTCTGCCAGGCAGCCTGAGCAATGTAGCACTGCTTAAATTCTTAATACATGGGTCCTGGCCATTTACCTCTCTTTAAGCCATGAGTTAGTAAGTAGTTAACTGTTTTACTGAGTGATCAGATCGCGTAATTATTTTAAAGCAAAAGCTGTAATTTACATTTAAAAGTTCAAAAAGAAATAACTTAAGAAAAAAAAAAGATTGTATCAGCAGGATGGCTTGGCGCAGGTAAGGGTTCAGCCCCACCTGGTAGGAGAGACAACAAGCTTGCACAAGCTGTCCCCTGAGCTCCATAAGCATGTATCCCCACTCCCCTCCCACACATACACAGAATAAATGCATGAAAATGTTTAAAGAGTCTGAACTGTAGCCACATCAAGATTAACTCAGATAATCCTGATAAGAAACCATATTTTAATAACTAGACAATCTTCAGGTTTTATTAAATCTTTTCATTTTGTTGCTCTAGGGAGGCCAAAAACCAAAACAAACAAACATAGTTTTATCTGATCCTGAAGAAAAAAAAATGTTTCCTTCCACATATGATAGCTCTTAATTAGCATAAGTACATGGCCTGGTAACCTTGTGACAGCCAGAATGTTTTATTCCAGTTAAAACTGCCTCCAGCTTTTACATTTTCCAGCAGCCACCTAGGAGCCTGGAGGCCCGAGTCCTGTTTCTGGTGCAGCACCTCTTTTTGACCCTGTCCTACAGCAGTGCAGCCTACTGCCCTTCACCTGGGTTTCGGATGTGTGTGTGCATCCATCCCTCATGCTGCTTCTCTTGCCCCAGGACCTAGTTCCCCTCAAACAAGGACTTTGATTTGATCGCCTGCCTGTCCTTGGTCTGCAGAGTCACAGGCCAGTGGGAATGGTTGTCCTCCTCAGCACGTGCTCATGACTGCTGTGTGTCCACACGTCTATGTCCTGTCCCTCTGTGCCTGCATTGTTTTGTGTTGCTGAACTTTTCCCATCCTTATTGTGAGAACTCAAGGGGAACTGTGTTGAATGATGAGAAACCACAGCTAGTCCTTGTGTGGGGGGTCACATGTCACACAAAGTTTGCTCTGGCAAGGACAACAGTTTCAAATTCAGTAGCTGCTTTTCAGTCTTTGTAAGTGGGTTAATAGAAATATACATAATTCATGACAAGAAAAAATGGTCTTAATTTCACATACCCCTACCTACCCACCAGTGTGAACCAGGAAAAAAATGTTTAATTAAAAATTATGCACACATGGAAATCTGTTCCTTCTTGATTGTTAAGTGTTGCTATTGCAAACCTCTTCTACAAACTCAGCATCAACAAGGAGGGAGTTTTACTACTTCTCTCAGATTAAATAATAAGGGAAACCCCTTTAGGGTGAAGTATCCTCTTGGTTCATTCTTCCTCAAAAGGGATGATATCACCCGTTACAGATAATTCTCTCAAGGTAATCAAGAAATACTTTTTAGGTTCATGACAGCTTACATATTGTTTCCTCCCCAGTTGTGTCCTAGGAATGGTTAGTATAAGGTACTGTGGCTCAATAATGAAAGAATTCTGGTTTTCTGAACAGAACCAGCTATTTTCCATGAACAAAGCAGCTAGAGAAAAAATAGGTAGATGACACATCTTAGCCTAGACTTGGACCCTGTGCCTTCTAGAAGGCCTCTCTAAAAGGGTTCACAGATGAGTTGCTAGGTTAAATTGTTTGAAAAACTTACCTTTCCCTTGTATATTAATGAGTGAAGCTAAAAAGTACAGCTGTCTAAAGGTAAAGCCAGAATCAACAAAATAAAGAATATAAGTCATTCAGGGCTTGCATCTAGATAGTTTAATATATAAACATAGGTTTCTTTTATATTTTTGTATATTAATATTTAAGATAAAAATGTTCTGAGCATATATATCCACTCAGGATCCTTTATCTGATTTTTTTCTAAATATAAGTGAAATGCATCCTTCCTTTTCTTTGTTTAAATTATGTGATTCTTCTACGTGGCTTAATTTGTCGTCCTTAAAACTATGATTCTTTTACTGTAAAAAATCATAGAACACTTGGTGAAGAGTCATTTTCAAATTCCTTTATGTAGATAAAAGAAGAGAAGATTTAAGTACATTACCCTAGCTTACACTGCTCTTTATTTGCATTGTGGACTCACTGTTTGGATCTGTCTTCTAGCAGTTTATGAAGACAAGTGTCCTTCTGTACCAGAGCACATTGGTGATCTTAACAACGTAGGCAAACATGGAAGTGCACCTAACTGTATTCATATTCATCTTCCGTAATTTCAGTCGCTTTCCCCAGATCCTCATTTATTAGCTTGTAGCTTAGCAGGCTAGCCCTGTCTAATATATTCCTTACCTTTTCTTTCTTGTATGTGATCTATATCACATAGAAGAGTGGCTTGCAAATAAATGATGTCTGCTTATGGTCACTCCTTCTAGTTCTGCTTAGTACTATCTCCATGGTGCTCACAAGAATACTTGTTTATATTCAAGAGTGCGTCTGCCATTTTAACTAATTTATGTTTGTGAGTGAAGACCTCTGAAGAGTAATTAAATGTAACAACTTAGTAGTCAGGTGACATATCAACTCTTTTGTCAGGCCAACTACCTAGACCTCTCTTACATAAGTTTGTCAGTACCTTTCATTGTGTCCAGCTTTCTTTGTCTAAATAGCTTGAGTGAGAATAGATGACTAGGGGAAATAATTGATCCATTCAGTTTTCTCAAAGAAAAGCTTTATTCTTTTAAATGGAAATATTTTATTCAACTAAACTTTCTCAAACCTCTGCTTCTATTGTCCAAGGCTTTTAGAGGTAATTAGATGTTGACAGATGAATTGGTAAGTGTTAACTTTGATACCATGATTATTTAATATAGAATAACATCAGCTAATTTATAAGAATTGCTCTCCCAAGTTGAAGTCCTCCTCTGATGATTCTCCAGATGCTTCTATATGGTCCTCTACCTGTTAGTCCCTGAATTTAGCTAACCCATAGCCTCTAAGATTTTAAAATATATTTTCCAAGATAGTATAGTTCCAATGTAATATATATATAATGTGTGTGTGTGTGTGTGTATAAAATATTCTCAATGCATTTGTGTTTGAAAGAACTTTTTCACCCCTCTTATTCTTTATTCAATAAAGATTTATATCATAGAAGAGGGAAGCTTTAGCCTGGAGTGACCAAGCTGTCCCACAGGTCCATATGTGCACAGGTGCCTGACCAGTTCCCCCCACATTGGCATCTCTACTCCATCTATTTCAGTGCCTTTCTGTAACTGCCCCCAAGCATATAAGGCTATGAGTTGTCTTCTGCATGCATAGCAGCAGTAGAAGCAAGCAGAGCTTCTAGAAAGTAGGTCTGGGTTGGAGTCTATAGTCTAAGAACACAAGCAGCCATGACAACACACTACCCAGAGGATGGAGGAGAATGCTGAAATGTTGCCTGGTGGAGCTGCAGGCCTCCCACATTTAGTTCTGAAAGATTGGAAGTTCATTCTGTTTCTGATTTAAGAGGTGGAAAATGACGAAATGGGGGAGAATTCCAAGGTGTAGCCTAAATCGGGTCCTTATATATGGGACTTATGTGGCAGTGTGTGGACACACACTTATCTGACAAGCTATGGTAGAATGCTGGAATGACAGGTAGATTTGGAGGTATTCATTAGAGTGCAGCTTAGGCCTCAGCATGTCAGGCAGCTGGCCTACCCAGAGTTCCACAGGCTGCTGTGCATACATGAAACGGCACACTTTGAGGTAGAGGGCAAGTCACTTTTCTTCCAGAAGTCCCTCCTATAGAAGGATTGAGTCCACAGCTTGATGGCCTGTATTTCTAATACCTGCTGTGGAACTGAAAGATCCACTCCACCAGTTCCTTGTCATCTCACATACTCAGAGTATCATATGCATACTGAACAGTACACAAAGGGAAAAGAGAATTACTCTCCAGACCTTTGGCAGCAATAGGGATGGGTGGAAAGAAAAGGCACAGTTCTGTCAACGTGGTTTGGTGGTGTCCGGGGGATCATTGAAGTAATTAGGGGATGGACTCTCTAAGTTCTCTAACAGTGCTTCTCTGCATGACCACAGAGAAGCAAACAAACTTCTTCCTACTGAGAACCTAGGGGAGGTGCAGTATGGCCTCTTAGCTTACTGTGCATAGCTTCTGAATGACTTCAGATTACTTCCTTTCTCAGAGGGGTAGGATTTTATCCTTGAGTTCTACAGACTTTTCCTTATCCAGTTTCTATAAAGACACTGTTGTACCGCTCTTCAAGGCCCAGTTCAGGCTCCTTCAGGGCTCCACACCCAGAGCGTTAGGAGAGTTGTCTACTGCTAAGTCATGGTCGACTTCCTATCCCAGTGTTGTCCTTTCAGTCTGAGAGAGGAAGTTGTCCCATCAGCATAAGCACATACAGTGTAAATAGGAATCCCCACTTCCTCTCCTTTCTGAGGACTGCAAGTGGTGGCACTAAAGGGACAGCTGACTTGATGTCCCCTTATCTTTGCCAGGATCTTTACTAGCTATCCTCCATCACCACCAGCGTTCCCATCATTTCAGTAAGTTCTTCAGAAATAGATCTTTTCTAAAACAGCCTTTTTAATCAAAAAAGAAACCAAAGGCGATTGTGTTATGTATTCCATTTCCTGAGTTCATGTGAAAGTCCATACTCCATGAAGCATTGTTTGTTCTGACTATTCTAGGAAAATGTCACAGTCAGCAAACAGCCAAGATACAAGGACAAAACTACACACTGGTCTACATTCATATCTCCTACGCTGCTGCCAAAATCCCAGTTTATAGACGGTGTCATCCTTGTTCACTAGAAAGCATGACACTGATTACTGTGTGTGTGTGCAAACATGCACACACACACCTTACATAGGGTGTAAGCAGCCTGCTGGCTTATTCTGAGCCGGCTAGGTTATGTATTCCCAGTTCCTCACATCACCCTTGACTGTGTAGAAAAGTTGTGTCAATGGCACTGCTGACTCACTAGGGTGCAGAACTAAGACCTTGTCTGCTCTGCCACTTCCCCATCACACAGCTTAAGTGTAAATGGTTTCTCTGCTCCGAAGTTAGTGTACAGCAGTGGACATGTGTGTGTTAGGCCTCAGCCACTAAGGTTTGGTTTGGCTTTGGGTTTTCTTTTCTTTTACATGCCTCCTAGATCAAAGAAGCAGAGGTATATATTTCAAAAAGATCCCAGTGGTACTTGCCAGCAGCACACTGCATGGAGTGGTTTTTGTCTGACTGCAGGGCCTCACTGGCGAAGGGAGGGAGAGTTATCATTGTCTAATTCTTTTTCTTCCACATTATTGTGATTTATTTCTCCATATGTATCGTTTTGTGTGGTTTTGTTGTGTTTTGTTTTGTTGTTTACTTTCTGTTGGTTTAATTCGTGTGTAAGCTGCATGCACTTGCTGTTGTACTGTGTCAAATGATTCTCTGACTTCCTTTGGAAAGCACTAATGAATAAGTGCTATTTCTCTTCTCTATTGTTGGGTTTTTTGTAAAGTTGCTCAAATGCTCTCAGGTATGGCGGCTCTGAATGGAGGACTTGGCGCCACAGGCTTGACGAATGGTACGGCTGGCACTATGGACGCCCTCACCCAGGCCTACTCAGGAATTCAGCAGTACGCGGCAGCTGCACTGCCCACTTTGTACAGCCAGAGCCTGCTGCAACAGCAGAGTGCTGCAGGCAGCCAGAAGGAAGGTGGGTATCTGTCTGTACCCAGGGCCTGGCGGGGCCAGCCACACTTGCATTTGCCTTAGAGCATGCCTAGAAGATGGTAATTTGAACGAGAGTCTTAGTCACCTGCTCACTTTCTAGAATCCATGTTAAAAGTCTCACGCATAAGCCCTTTTTAAAAAGTTTTCTATTCATCTTATATTTTTTCATTCATCCCTGAAGTTCTTATCAGGTATTCACAGGAAATTGCTTACTAGTTGCTACCATCAAAAGTGCCTTGAAGGTCCTCTCTTCAGTCAGCAGGAGCTCTCAGTCTCCTCTCCTCATAGAAATTCCTCAGTAAGAGGGTATCATTAGATTCAGGCTGGTGTAGGGTAAGAATGTCTCCTCTCCTGAATTCCCTAAGGTTTTGGGGTCCACAACCCTTGAAAAGTTGCCTCTCAGAAAGCGAGAGTTCTGACTAATGAGAGAATCCAGTTAGAACTGACTTAGACTGTGGGAAGGATGTCTTCTGGGACAGGGAATGATGGATTGCCTTGTGCCAGTAAGGCAGTAGACATTTCAGAAAGCTACTCCTGAGAATGAACTAAAGCTACTTATATAATGGTTAATTACTTACCCCAAATAAGGAAAGTTTGTCCCTCCTCCTTTTGATTCTTTTCTTTTATGGGTTGGTTGGTTGAGATAGGGTCTCACCTGCAGCCCAGGCTGCCATTAACTATGTGCCAGTCTTACTGGCTCCGTCTCTCAGGTGCTAGGGTGTAACTACAACTGCACACCACCACATACCACGGTTTTCATTTCCTTACTTACTGAAGCTGCTGTAGAGCAGTCAGCAACTTGCTGTTCTCTTTCTGACTTGTCCAGAAGATGGAAGAAGACTATTCTTGTCCTTTTCCTTTTACCTTCACACCATAGTTACAGACTGCTTCTGCTTAGATATTTATATAAAGAGTCTGGTAATCTGTAATCTGATATCAAGGTTTTATTCTGCAAAGTTAGGATTTTTAAGGAGATACAACTTAAAAGTGTAAAAAATAGAAAATAAATTTTCCTTTGGCAAAGAGCATAGAGGTCTTCATAAAAGAAAAACTACATGAGACCTACGTTACTTCTCATTGCTTCAACCCCCTTGCCCCCTTCTTCTTAGCTGTGACATCTTTTGTAGGTTTCAAGCATGCACAGCTATTTGGAGAACTGTGTTTCACTGGGTGTTTGAAAGGGACCTCGCATTATGAACACCACAAGGCCATCTTTGTTTAGTCTCTGTAGGATCTGAAAGCCACTGAGAAGCACCATGGGGGAGAGGGGGTGCTGTAAAGAACAGAGCTAAGACCCTTGGATAGCTCCGGATTGTCAGGTCTCCCATCCAGCATAGCTGTACAGGACAAGATAACTGAGTCAGTCAGACACAGTGCCTCAGCCCACTGTTGTAAGCTTTGACTAATAAAGACAGGACATCATGAGCGCCAAGTCCTAACTCTAGTTCAGGCTCTAGTTTAGGACTCTTTATTTTTGTGCTAGTGGTAGCTTTTGGTTTGTTCATTTCGTTGGCTTGGTTTGTTTGTTCCTGCCACCATCCCTGTCTCTGACTTTTCATACCTCTCTCTTGATCATCTTCTCACCCAGTTAATCTAGCTAAAGAATATCATCCATCTGCCATTAGTTTAAGTAAAATGTAATTTAAAATGCAAATTATAGCAAGAGTGGGAGAAAACAGGTCTACTACTTAGTGGATTTACAGATTCCCTAATCCACAGCTCTGTTCTTATGCTAATCTTTGGTCAAAGCTGAAATGTACCCTGAAGGATTTAGTCATGGACTCTGGTGTATTTTTCCACCACAGGAAAAATGAACCTTTAGACTTGACAAATGATTTAGTTTCCATAGCTAAAGTTTGTGAAGGGTTGTACCATTCCTACAGATCTAAATATGAGGAAAGCCCATCCCATTTCATTCCATGGTGAACATTCTATAGCCACTCTCATCCCATCTCCCTCCCTTTACAGGAGGCAAGTTTTACACTCAAAGTAGTTGCAGCCCCCAGGTACCCAGCAAAAGGACTACCAGCACTGGTGGTTTGGTGAAGCTTTGTTGTAGCAGATAGGTGCCTCTGGGCCTAGGGGGTTGTGCTACATTGGGCACCCTGTGAGGAATACATAGTGCAACAACAGTCCATAGGGACCAGTAATACAACACAACTACCAATTACCGTGTGCTGGAGAAAGTAGACAGATAGAAAGGGTGAGTTGTGAACAGGTTTGTATTGCTTTTAGAGATTTAGAAGTGTGTGTGTGGGGGGGGGGAGAGTGTGTGTTAGTTTGGGGGGTAGAGGTGTTGATTTTGGTATCAGCTATGCCAGTTGCATGTAATAAAGGTTTTTCGATATGAAGCTGCTTTTTTTCTCAGTTTAGGAGGGTAAAAAAGATCAAACTACTTCTTGGTAAAGGGATGTCAGAGGAGAGGAATCAGGAAGATGTTGGAATTTATATACAAAAAAACAAAATAACAAACAAAAGGACCCAAACCTCTTTTTGTCTGTCTCACTAGTCATGGTCTCCATCTGTCTGGCCTGGACACATTCAGAATGTGTATAGCCTTCTGGATTGCAGGATCATTCAGGCACTCAGTCTGCCCTGTTCATTAAAAGTGTACTTACTGCTCAGACTTCAGGAGTAGCAGCACTCCCTACAATGCATTGGGCTCCATTAATCCTTCTTGCAGCATTTAAAGCCTTTGTTTAAAAGGCACATTCAATCTGGAGTACACATCTGACCAGCATGCCTATTCTAAGAGTACACATGGTGCAGTAGCACATAGCACACCCATTTCTAGCATTGGAGTTTTCAGTCTATCCATATTAGAACCAGAAAACAGTTAAGGCTAAGTCTCAACTATAACTGTCTGCCTTTAAAACAGGCTACCTCCCTAGAGCTGGATTGTAGACATATCCGTAGAATCTGTAAGCAATACAGTGATATTGACATGATTTCAAGTAAAGAAGAAATAACTACATTTCTGATTTCAGTAAAGTCTCATTCTTTAAAACTCTTCATTAATTTTCTAGGGGCAGACAAAGATGTATCAATTCATATATTTTTGCAAAGTTCTTTTAATTCTCATTTTACTTAGGTACACACACATAGATATCATTCCCCATTGTAGGAATTCTGTAGGGAGATCATAGGGTCATGGCCCCTGATCTCCACAGGGCAGGTTCTCTCTCCTGTGAGAGCCAGGTACAGAAGTCACTTTCCCAGTTCTGTGAGTTCCTTTCTTCCAGCATCCATGAAATATCCCAATGCATCTTCTTTTATTTTTTTCACACAGCCCTTGTGTAGATTAGTCTTGAGTTTAATGAGAAACTTGAGAAAACTAACCTTCTAAGCTGTAGAACTAAACAGACCTTTTGCCTTCTCCCTTGGTTTCTGGAGTTTGAATGAAAGGAGAAACACTTGGTCTTGGAGAAACTCTTGTGTCCACTGAACTTACTCCCAAGGCGAGTTCTCAGTGATATAAAGGCCTGTCAAATTTTTAAGCTTATCTGCCTTTCCACCTAGCTGTTGACTCCCTGCCAGTCATTCACCAGAGATGATTATTATAGTGTGTGGACACAGATTTGCCAAATCAAACCTGCCTAGATAACCAAGTAAATGATTGAGGATCTGAGCAGCATTGCTGCTGGTGTATCCATTATTCTAAATTGCTGCATTTGCTTAGAATGCAGAGGACACTTTCTTCCACTTCAGGAGACAGTCCATACAGAAAACATGGCCACCTAGGAGTAACCCATTCCAAATTCTCTCCCTGCCCTGCCCCTACCTTCACCTTTCCCCCATGGAGATGATGTGCAGCCAAAGTGATCCAAAGAATCTCTAGGAAAAAGAAACTACATATAGCATGTCCCACCCCACCCCACCCCCACCCACCATCAGTGAGAACATCTCAAAGGATTAGTGTTTTCCTGAATATCATGCTGGTGCTTAAACATTATCCATCTGTTTATTCTTCATAAGAAAAGCCAAACGGCTAGCCTACCTATTACTGAAATATTCCTAAGAGGCTTTGGGGACTAAGACTTGGGGGATACCTTACTCTGATTTTTTCTTCCTCTTTAGGTCCAGAGGGAGCAAACCTCTTTATTTACCACCTTCCACAGGAGTTTGGAGACCAGGACATTCTGCAGATGTTCATGCCCTTTGGAAATGTTATCTCTGCTAAAGTCTTCATTGACAAACAGACCAATCTGAGCAAGTGCTTTGGTATGCAAAAGAAACCTAGCTAAATATTGCAGGTTTCCCAGTCAGGAGTCAAAAGGGCCTTCCTTATGATGGTAGCTCCTGACCTTCTAGCTGCATGTACAGAGATTTGGACAGAGGTGTTTAATCAGAAAAGGGGGAAGAGCCAAACAAAAGGGGACAGTCCCTTACCTTAGGTAATATCCTATACTGTAGTAATAAAGTGTCTTTCTATATACCTGATTCCATTTCACCGTAGAGCAGTAGTTGTTTCTTTAAGCCCTGCAGATGGAGTCAGGAATGTTTAGTCTGTGCTACAGATAAGCACTGCTAACACTCTGCCATGAAGTCTTATGCCTCAGTTTCAAATAGCTCACACACTGAATCAGGGCTTGATACTCAGGCTTAAAAGTGTCCCAGTCATAAGAAGGATATAGCCAAGCTGCTGCCACTCCATCTCTGTAGACTAAGGACTAGCAGTTGGTGTATGCCATGCTTACAGAGAACAAAGCACCATGGTGGGCTTAGATCATAGGATTTGCCAGGGCTACATGAATATGCACGGAGCACAGGAATATTTGGGTATTAGCCAAACACTCCCAAACACCTGTCTGTCCTTGCAGCCTTTCTGACCAGAGGGAGCATTGTCTTCTTTTTTCTTTTTTCTTTTTTCTTTTTTAACAAAGTAATGAAAACTCATGCCCTGATGTTTCTATACCACAGGGACAGCATTTGTTAAATCCATGACTTATTTTTCTGACTGATTTAGCCCCCAAAGTTGAGAATCCAGGGTGCTCAGAGCCTGGCTTAGCAAGCTCTAACTCAGGGAGTGTCACAGCGTTTTGCTGATAGGACTCCTATAAGTTGTTAATTCACACTGTGGGAGGTACTACATGATATTAAATAAGATATGGGCTGAAAGAGATCAGAATCTATGTACTACAAAGAGAAATATAAAGTAGGGTGGTTCTCAGATAGCCAGAAATTCAGACTTTATTTGGCTGACTGCTAGATAACATTTTGGTTCCTACAGCTCTGGTGCTAGGTTCTTTCATCATTCAGGAAGGCCTACACCTCCGGGATTAGAAGAATTGATGCATCAACCATGTGCAGTGACTGTTTTTACTCTAGGAGAAAGGCTGTCAGCCTAAACCCACCTCACTTCCGTGGTGGGACTGTAAAGATGCCTTTGTAGCAGCTGAGGGGCAACATGAGCACTAAGCCGCCACACGGGCACATGTGAGAGACACACACACACACATGGGGTAGATGCTCGTGAGACATACACACACACTCACACACACACACACACACGGGGCGCATGCACTTGAGAGCCACAGCTCACCTTTGGAAAGGTTTCCTGTGTGAGGCTTTTTGACTGACAATTTTCATAGCTGCATAACTGTTCTAAGTTTATTTGAAGACTAAAAGCAACTATACCACAAGGTATTTGTGATTTGAGGAAACATTACCTTGAAAAGAAATTTTGTCAGTCCACAAACTACTTAACCAGTATGTTCCTGATAATACATGCTGTAGCTGTGAGAATCAGGGATGTATTTTCAATTTGTCTTAAAAGCCTTGCCTCCCAGGTCTCTAGGTGAGCAGTCTTAGCGCCACCCCCTGCCCCCCACACCGTTAGTTACTGAGCTGTTGTTGTAACAGCTCATCCTTCCTTCCTCTATCTCACTCCTGACTCACTCCATTCTCCAGTCAGCCTGCCACTTGTACCCAAGACCCTGAGAGAGGGAGGAGTCACACCAGATGAAAGGCTTGGATCTGAGGCTACTCGTACTGGGAATTAAAGTTAATAAAAATGTAAACAATCAGTTTTGCAATTCAGCCTATCTGTGAGAAGCTTTCTTGCCTTTTTATCAGCTGAGAACTCCACTCAAAGTATGTTTATGTCCTTTGCTCCCTCAACTAGCTTAAAAAGAATTTTCTCTTTAGCTTTAAACTTTTAATAGTATTAAGTAGATGAAGATGGTAGGATCTTCCAAACTGCTGATGTGTGGAAGTGAAATTCAATCTCTGGGATAGCTTCCTGTCTCCACTCATGAAAAGCTCACCGCTACCTCAGCATTGACCAAGCTATGCTGGTACTCCTGACTTGCCTCCCACTCTGTTAAAACAAACTCCACAACCAGAATTCTCTCCTCCTGACTCTTTGTAGGTTATCATTTGTTCTTGTTCAAAAACAGACATGCCCTGTCTCTCTGATGGTGGCTTATTGTTGCAGATACAAATAACTGGGATATGCAGAGACTCTTACTAAGCCCTGAGACAAAGAGAAGCTGTATTGTTCTTTCCTTAGGTTTGTCTGAACAGTAATTCCAAAATGTTAATAAATTAGTATACACTATTCTAATTCAGTTAACTCGGTGGTTGACTCATCCTGAAGCAGCCAACCCTGTGTAGACTGTCTATGAGTATATATAGTACTCACTGTCTTCTGAGAATTTTTCCCAAAGGACCCCTAGCTAGGGTTGGGGGGGGGGTGTCAAACAAACAGGTGTGACTTCAAAGCACTAAATAGAGGGACAGAGCTCACTCGAGAAACTTAGCTGTTGTTCTCTGGGGAAGGCTTTTGTCCTACGTGGAGCTAGCTCTTTCATTACTTGCCAGTGGGCATTTCCACTGCTATCCACACATATTGTGCATGCACAGGACAACATAAACCTAGCAGAGCCCAGCTCTGATCCTGGGCTGGGCACCTCTCAGCATTGCAGTCACACTATGTCGGCCAGCCCCGCCAGCCCCATTTTCTACTTGGCTTCCCCTTCACCCTGACCTCCCTACCTCCTTCCCCTTTGTTTTCCAGGTTTTGTTAGCTATGACAATCCAGTCTCTGCACAAGCTGCAATCCAGGCTATGAACGGCTTTCAGATCGGCATGAAACGCTTGAAGGTGCAGCTGAAGCGCTCCAAAAACGACAGCAAACCTTACTGATCCTAGCCCCAGATGCTCCCTGCTCTTACTTTAGCTTTCGTAGGGTAAGTCCCACAAGCCAGCCTGTTTTCAACAGGGAAGGCAGAGGAGGGACCACAATGCCAACTGTTACCAAGAGAGACGGTTATTTTTACAATAAGGCCTCCATTTCTTCCACTCATGCCCCACCCAGTCTGCCATAATTAATACCTGGGCTACCTTGTTTTTATTGAGTAAACCCCTCCTCCAGCCGTGCCATTGTATTCTCCTTTGTTTCGCAATTTGAATATCCTTACTCTTTTAAAAAATTGTTTTGCTTTTTTAAAGAAAAACATATAAACAAGTAAATGACATCTTGAGAATTTGAAAGGCAAGCAAACACTAATGTGCAGTTCTAACTCTGAACCACTGGTGCCCCAAGAGCACTGCCTGGAGCACTCACCCCTCCTTGCCCACCCGCCCGCCCGCCCCTCGGAGGGCCCCACCATTAGAGATGATGTGGTGGCCCAGCAGAGGGAGAAGCCAAGAGAAGCACTTAAAACTCCACAAAACACCCTCCCAGTACATTGGTTTCTTTTAATATAAGTAGGATTTTATTTTAGGGTTCAAAGAAACATGACATTTATTGGTCAGATTATTACACTGGTTGTCTATTTTGTTATTGTTTTATTTTTGTTTTTAGAAAGGATTAATGTAAAAAAAGATTTAGAGATCTGTTTCTTAAAGCTACAGGGTTTAAAAATAAAATAAAAATGAGTGAAAATACTTGATGTTTCTTGAAAGATAAATTTAATAATAAATAAATACATAAATAATACATAAATAAAAAAGAAAGCCACAGGCCTGTAAATTTTATTTGTAAAAAAAGCATTTCTATTTTTATACAAAATTTTTACTGCCTCAGAAATAATGGAAGTTATTTATTGCCTATTGTTAACTTATTGGGTATCTAAAGAGCAGTTCTCTGTCTAGCTAGAACCTTCTGAAGTAGTCTCGAGAGGAATTGTTCTAGGAATGGGCTTTTTTTCACCGTTGAACCCTAGACCTAAAGTTCATGCTTTATCCTCTTGTTGTTTGTATTGTCTGATTATTTTGTTTGTAATTTCCATTATCTAGTTTATAATTCAGTTGTCTTGACTTCCCCATATGTCACCTTTGTTCAAACTGGACCCTCTCCTCTGTCCCTTCCTAGTCCTTCACCCCAAAACACCCAGAATCCATCCCCTCTCACTCTCTCCAGATGGATTCTCTTGGGGTTTCATTGTGCTGTGGAAAAAGAGTGTAAGAAATGCAAATTATGTGAATGGCTCATAGACTCCCTGAAGACCTAAGATTTGCATTAGTTTTTCTCCCCTACCCTTGAAAGTGATGTTGTTGCTGCTACATAGGCTCTGTGTAACTTCTGACTCTTCCTTGTTTTCTCCCCAGACATCTTCATGCCCGTTAGTCATCGTTTGCCTAGCATGTCCCTGTGGCGTCTCAAAAACAGTTTCATCGTCCCGTCATTGTTTCTGATGTCTTTCTGACCTCACATCATATTTGGTTCTCCTACTGACCTTTGATCTAGTTTTGACCTTTGAAATTTGCATGTGACCTCATCTAGCTATGAATTCTGGGAAGTCAATGTGAAAAACATTGCTGCATTCATGCAAGACTGAAATTATTAGACAAATTATAGAAAACAAAACCTGTGGCAAAAATGTTTCTTTCTTATTTTTTTTTCTTTTCATAAAACAGACTTGAAAGTATTACACAGGGATTGGCATTCTGCCCGGTCACTGGTGACAATAGCAATATGTGTCCAGGGACACAGAATGTTGGTTTCTAACAGACTACTTCCAAAAACAGTTTGAGAAAAAAAAAACTGTCTGATTTTAAGTCTCTAGAGGTCTGTAATAGTTTTTACATTTTTCAGGCAGTGTAAAGTTTTTTGATAAGGCCATTTTAGGTGGCTTACTTTCTCATTAAGATATATATAGAGAACCACTTTTGTAGATTAGTATAAGAAAAATATTTACCCTGTTTTGGGGCAAATGCTACCTATTTGTGTCACCTTTTGCTGAACTGACTCACAGTTAGACAATCCATGGTTTAATGCACATGAAATTACCTATATTTTATACTGTTCCAATGTACAGGAGAAAGGTTACTGTAAACTGCGTCATGTTGGTGCTTCTGTGGATTAAGTTGTGGTCTCATCACGAGTCTTAAGGTCTTAATGTTATTTGTTGATAAGACAAGCTTAGAATTGGTTTACTTAAAACAAAAAAAAAAGAATTTCAAAAAAAAAAGTTGTTTGCTTAAAAAAATAAATTTCATGTGAGAGAAAAAAACTATTCCAGAATAAGTTTTGTGTTGGCTTGAGAAGCATTGATGTCACCTTTTTTATTGTGAACTATATTAGATGTGTTTGTGTTCAGCAAAATGTGATCTGTTTTTGTTTTTTCTTTTAAAGAAAAAAAAAAAGTGAAAACTATCTAGTGCCAAATTCCAAAGGTACTTCCTTCCTAGAGCTTCGCGTGTTTCCTGTGAGAAGTGATTTGATAACATGGTATTTTATTATGTGTTTTGTATAAATCCCTAATATTTAAAACGAAAAAAAAAAGGTTACAAAGTTTGTTAACTTGCTATTCCGTGGTCTTGTTGCCTGAAATTGTTATTGTTTGTTACTTCTCTATGCTGTTTTTTGTAAGACATTGTATAAGTGCCGTGCGTCACTTTTCTAACCACTCCACATCAGTGCTGTGACGGCAGCCCTCACAATGTATTCTCTGCATACTGTCTGGAAACCTCTAAGGTGAGAAAGTCCTGAACTTTTAACCCTTTCTACCCAGAGCTATCTGGAGTGTTGGTAACTTTTTATACTGTCATCCTTGGGTTTGTTTTGGGGTGTTTAGATTTTTCCCCCATTTGTGTCTTCTGCATTATTTTTGTTTTTTCAGACACCCACTAACCCAAAAAACTCTTAAGTCTTTTTCCTAAACCATTTTTTATTTTATTTTTTATCCCCCCTCCTTCCTATTTTCCTGTGCTCCTTAAGCTTAAGTAGACTCTGTGAAGGTAAAAATAGGTAGGTCTTAGCCCCTACACATCCCTAAAGATGATGTCTGCTTTTTGAGATCGGGTTTCACGGTATGTCCTAGTGTACAATATTTTTATACACCCTGGAGTTAAATGGCTTTTTGAAGGTCCAGTCTTTCAAGAAATTTTGCTTTTGTTAAACACCCCTATGTAATGCTGAATCAGCCTTTGTGCTCGGGATTCTCAGACTGCTGTAGACACCTGAATGTGCAAGGTGTCTTCATGAAAGCCCTCGGGCCTTTCCATGCCTCTCTGGGTTTCTAGGGTGTTCTGATCTTTAGGTGAACACATTTCAAGTTGCTGGCCATGTAAGAGGAGATCAGCGCTGCTCTTCACCACAGTTACTAACCAAATACCAGGACTAGTTCCTGCTGTAGCTTTCGAAAGTGCCATGTTCCTCAGAGTCTGGCTTCATATGAGCAAATGTCTTGTTTTGACAGACCCCCAATGTCATACCTACTGTCCCAACACACTTCCAGCCTCTGGGAAAACATACCCTGCAAGCTTCTGGTCTCAGCTCCTTTTCCTTCTCACCCCGACCCCATTTGATTTAACATGTGTGTTGACTGTGATAGCCCTGAGATGGAAAGGATTAGCTTCTCACAATTGTGTGTGATTGTGATAGCCCTGAGATGGAAAGGATTAGCCTCTCACAATGCAAAAAAAAAAAAAAAAAAAAAAAAGTCTCCTCCTTCCAGCACGTGCACTTCCAATGACATGATTCGTGTTAGCCCACACCTGTTTACTACTGCCGGGGCCTTCCTTCATCCTTGAGGGCTATTTTGTACTTTCTGCAGCACTCAGCTCACTAACAGTACTCACACACATTCCTCAGTCTCTCTATGGTGGTGTGTAGGTACACATGTAGAAACACAAGAGAATACCAGTTGTATTTCATAGACCATCTCGTTCAGAATCTATTCATTTACCAATGACATAAATCTCTAAAAAAAAATCTTGATTTTTTTCCCCCCATGGAAGCAAACTGCCCTCCTTCCTCTTAATCCACCTGCGGTCCCCCTTCAGAGGCTCGGGCCAGGCAGGTACTTCTGTTGAGTGTTTCTGATTTTGCAGGCAACCAAGACAGTACATTGAGGGGGAGGTTTTTGGTTTTGCATGTTTCATTGTTAGAAAGATAGCCTTCCTCAGAGACAGACTGTCCTTTAATTCTCAGTATCAAAAGGAAAAAGCTGCAAGGGTGCACAGGGCCTGTTTCCGGAAGACAAAACACAGGGAAACTGCATTTTTAAAAATCAAGTGTAAAGCATAAACTTTTAAAACTCACTCAGAGAACTCTGATCAGATGGCACCTCCACGGTGTGACAAGTTCATCTTTCCTTCACCGCAGGGGTTCTAGTTCCTTGGCTTGTGCTACTCTGGAATCATTTACTGTTTCTGTTTTTATTATCTTAAGTGCTAATTAAAAAATAATAAAACTTAAAAAAATGTAGTTTCATTACCTTTTGAATAATGTCATACAAAAATGTATTTGTGTTTTTGTGCTGTGGGAATTGTTGTTTGTAGATTAATAATACCATTTTGTTTAGAACTACAAAATAGTTTTTAAATATTGTCTGAGAAAAGCCAAAGTTAATGCAACCTAGTGGAAACTGTAAGACCATTTGAGTATTGTTTCTGTTTTATTGATGCATTTGGATTTTGTTGTTTGATGGAATTTGAGCCAAAAAAACAAAAACGCAGGCTTTCCTATTTCTACAACTGATTGTACTTATGCATTTTGTACCAGTGGGATTTTTTATACTGGAGATTAAAAAAATGGAAATTTTTGTGGCTTACTCTTGTGGGCCCCCTGACAATGACTGATTTCAAGTTTGATTTCTGGTTGATAGAAAGAAAGTTGCTTTTCTTTTAAGAATTAAAAACTTTGGCTTGATTTCTTTTTTTCCCTTTGCTTATATCTAGCATTAGAATTTTGTCTTAAAATACAGCGGTAAGTTTCACTCTTTATTCTGTACTGTGCAGTTACACAATAAGATAATTAGACTTAGAAGTATTCAGTCACTTTAAGTGGATAAATGTATTAGTTAAACTTTAGGAGTTTGCTTTCTTGCTGTTTAGATCGAAGTTTTTTCTGACCCTTCTGTCCTCATTGTGAACATAACCGTGTAGTTGAAACAGTCAGACTTATTTTTGTAATGTATGTTATTGTGTGATGCGGTTTTTTGCTTCTGTCTCCAATATTAAACCATTTTCCTAATACTTGTTTCTCTCTCTGCGTGTTGTATTGTTGGTAGTCATTCTGTGTTGGTGACATATCTACACAACCTCACTGTTGCACGTATCTGTTCTTTTCTATATGTTGTGTAAAGAGATACAGTCGATTCCACCTAAGTGAATATCTGATTTGGGAAACGAAGAAACTGCACATCCCACCTCTGGTTCATGCACAGCCTACCCCTGACCTCTGCTTCCAAGACAGTCCGCCTTTCCCTCTGATTCCTCTAAGGACTGCCTCCTGGGCTGCACTTGGCAAGGCATTTTATGGTCTTTTGACCACATATGTTCTTTCCTCTCTTCTCCCTCATATCCACAGTTCCTAATATTCATGAAGTCTCTCCTGTAACCTTAGAAGGAACGGAAGCAGTAGACCCAGGGCTTCTTCAGTCTACCTTCAAGTACGAAGTCACAAGACTACAGTCAGGGTTAGAAAGGGGTCACCCTTACAAAAGAGACAAAACCTCAGGGAAGAGTAAATATAAAACTGGTCAACAGGGGGCAGGTAAAAAGAGTTTAAACTTAGGTGTGTGCTACGTTGATCAATGGGTATGTATAGAAATGCATTTCTATAAGCTAATCAATTTAATCCAGGAGTAGCTTCAATTATTAAAACTCACAGGTATTTGATGAGGGAGGTAGGGGGACTTCTGTTCAAGTCCTTGCCTTTTGTTTGCAAGGGGGAGCTCAGAATGCCATAGGTCCAGGCTACACACACACACACACACACTCACCACCTTCCCACTTTCCGGGATAGACACAGGATAGGAAGGAGATGTGCTCCCAACTGCCCCCACTCTCCCTGCAGTGAACACCACAAGCCCTCCCTGCGCTACTGTCTACTTGCTCAGGAGCCTGGCTGCCCTCAGAGTGTGATTTCATAGGTCCCATGGCTGTTTGCTCCCTTCTTCTCACCCCTGCACTGAAACATTAGATTCGGTGCCTGTGCCAGGTCATGCCTGGTCACCCTCAGCATGGTGCCAGCGAGAGCTCTGGCTGCCCACCCTCTGGTTTCACCTGGCCCCTCAGGTCCATTTCTTCAATCAGGTCAACCACCACAAGTCTACCAAGCAGAAGAAAGGCGGCTCTTCCCCTAGGCCAAATACCTCACTGGGAATGAGTTTCAAAGCCCTAAACCTACGCTGACAAAAGCTGATTTCTAGTGATACATGTGCTGTCTGTCTCAGGGCCTGGGCCTGGTCAGTCGCCTCTGAAAGGCTACTGCTTCCACGAGTGAGGAAAGGTCGATAAGGTGTTCTTTTTCTATCTTTTCTGGAGGAATGGGCGGCATCAGGGAGGGAAGGCCTGGGAAAGAAGATGATAAAATTTGTTCCAAGATGTGTTTCTTTTTGAAATACAAATATACCATTTAGCACACGGCATGATGTTCACACGCAGAAAGACAAAGTGGATTTTTCTACTGAAGACACAAAGGCTCGGTCCTGTAAGCACTTGTGACTATAAAGTCAGCTGCTGCTTAAATTCACACTCAGTGTTGATTTGTGTGTGTGCGAGTGCGTGTTCGTGTGTGTGTGTGTGTGTGTGTGTGTGTGTGACTCCCACCATGGTTGTGAGCAGGTCTGTCTACTGCTTATGCACAGACCACCATAAGAAGCCAGACAACCATCAGCATTCCCAGGCTGGCATGCCTGCCAGGCCAAAGTAATGGGGTGTGATCTGCAGGCTCACAGCTAGCAGGCTAGGCGATGCAGTGAACACGAGCGGACCATGCATCATTCCTGATAAGTGAATAAAACACTGTGGCCAGACAATCAGCTTATTCACTTATCAGGAATCGACTGTTCTACTAATTCACTGTTTTTGTTTTTCATTCTGTTGTAGTTCACTATTTTTGCTGTGTTCTGTTTTTTTTCCTCTCATGCTTGGGCAAACTCACTGGTGATATTACCTTCATGTGACCATGAACCGTTTCTATCGAGTGAAAATGGTATCTTAACAAAATCTATGCACTTGCTATCAGGAACACAATACTGGATGTGTCTTATATATATTGAACTATATAGTACTCGATTTCTTAAATAAAGCTTAAGAAAGGACTTGTGTGTAAAGTGAATGTGATTCTTTCTCAAAGCAGTGTTTTTAAGGGAAATTGTTCTTTTAAGTCTTCAGTGATATAGGATATTTTCACTAAAATTATATCATTGTCTTTATGAATTAATATTCAATAAATGGACTTTGGAAACAAAAAGTTGAGGGGGGAGTTCTTCCGAGTGCATTTTAACAGAGACTTGGCGTCCCATCGTTTTGGTGGCTGTGGCTAATCTCTAGCCAAGTGCTGTGTGTAACAAAGCAAAATAAACAAAATCCCTTCACCTCCCAATACCATAGAAAGCACCTATCTGCATCCCACCCTAGAAAGCCTTTCAAATGTGTGATCTCCTTGGGCTTCGAAGATAGGGACAATAGAGGAAAGCAGGCCACTAATGCTAGTGTGTATGTCAGATGAGGTGACACTGAAACCATTCCCTGTGGAGGACATTGGCTGTTCTATTCTGGACCACAGAATTCGGAACAGCAGAGGAAGTGTTTGATCATTCTGGATGAGATGGAAAGATTTCAAAGCTGTTCCTTGTGTGAGGGAGCGGGCCTGTGAGTTTCCAGGCTTTAGCGGAAGGCCTGCTGCCTGGCTCTTTGAAAGAGGATTTTTGATTTTTTTCCTATAGGCTTTAGATTTAAACAGAATGGCATTTCTATTGGATCTCTCCACCTTGGGGTCTTTTAGATTAGATTTGTTTTTCTTTCTTGCGTATGATTCTAAGAACTAAATATCTGCCTGCAAAATGGCACAGGCATTTAATCCTTTATGAAGCAGATTTTATCCTTTGTGAGAAACAGAAAACCAGGACTCTTCTTCCATTCTCTGTTTCCTCCCACCCCACATTTCCAACTTGTAAACTTGTAACACACCCCAAAACTCAATGCTTGTCAGAGGCCAGGGTCAGGTACAGGTTATCATCTCAAAGGAGGGCCTTGATGACATTCCCTTGGTGGCACCATGCTATCTAAGAGAGGAAACACTGAAAACACTGGTGTGCTGGATCAGGGCTCAGCCATTAAGAGCTGTCCATTTCCTTAAGACCATATCCAAGGCCATAGGCAGGGGAGCTATAAGCCTCAGCAGCACAAGAGAAATGCAAGCTAGCACATTCCCCTCTCAGTAGGTCGGCAACACTGAGTCTCAAGTGTTCCATGCCTGGGAATTGAGGGTACACAGCTGTCTCTGGTCAGCACCAAGAGCTGCTTCATGGGGAATACTACATTTTATTTAGCCTCACTGATGGTCAGCAAACCAGCCTGGTGCCAGCTTCTCCTTGATGCTTCAGAAGGATATGTTTAAGGCAAAAATGAGTATCTATAAACAGAACACACAGTGGCACTGTGTCTGGTAATAAGTTAACCTCAGCTTAAGCCCCACATAACGATCTCGAAGTGTGGATTTGCTGGAGGGCCCATTTTGAACACCAGCTCTCCCACTAATTACTGTTGTAGCCCGTATGTGTCTTAGTTTCCTTATTAGCATAACAAGGTGAAACTACCTAGTGGATGTGACCACACACAGGACAATTGGATCACAACATAACTGTTCAGTAAGACTCAATAAATGAATAGTGCAGTCAAGGGTTGGCTTTCTGCTTGCTGTCCTTTCTGGCATCCCTAGAGTGTCTCACAGCTCTCCCTGGGTTTCTTGGGTAACTCAGTTATGGCTGGCTAGAATCTACAGTCTTTCCATCTGTGTTCTCTGTACTACCAAGTCCTAGAACAGATATTTTCCCTTCCTGAGAAACTGTCCAAAGGTGATGCTGTCCCCATGAAACCATCAGACCACACTTAGGACCTGAGCCAGCAAACCAACACATTATTTTCACACCAAGCTCCTGCTAGCTCTTCCAGTTTGTAACTAACACAGAAAGACAAGGTCACCTATAGGTCTGCCTCTCACAGGCTTGCAGGTTCCAGACCTTTCCAAGGCAAATCGATGTCCTTAGAAAGAACCAGGCTAGGTCTGTGTGTGATCATGCTAGGGAGAGCAAAGGTGCAGCTAGAAGTACAGAGGGAGCTGAGTGGGAGCAGGCTCTACATCATCTTGATCGTCTCCTCCATTTTAACCAAAAATACTGTGGTTTTGTTGTTTTACTGAGCACCCGTGTTATGTCTCATTTAGAAAGCTGATTTTGTTAGTCAAAGCACACATAAGAAGCCACTGCTTGGCCACAGAGTAACAACAGCTTTTCACTACCTGAGTCTTGTAGCAAACACTGCATGTGGAACCTCTTTCATCTCCCCGTAGAACTTGATAATACAGCACAGCATCTGCTAGTCACCAAGTGCTGAGCACATGTTGTGCGTGCCTGTCTCCCGGCAATATGCATGCTCTCTAAAGGAAGGGACTGAGTCTTGCTCCTCCCTGTATCAGTGCCTCGTGCAGAGCCTGGTGATCATGGGGGCAGGGAGAAAGGATGGATCAGTAGGCAAACTGGGTGGATACAGAAATGTGGCCAATGATTTGACTAGAATGATAGCAAAACATTCTTTATTAGATGAACAATAACCCAGAAAATTCATGCAGAGAGAGGTCTGACTGTGGCATGGGCTGAGGATGACAGAAATTGGAAGCCTCTTAGCAAAAGCCAGGAACCACTTTGGTAGGACTAGGACAGAAATGATGATGAAGAAGAATAACTGTACGTATGAGCCCCGAGTATGCAAGGAGAAACTTCCCCTGAGTCCTTAGGCACTGGATCCTTAATGGCAGGATATGCCTGTAAGTGGGTCAAACCCACCTTGGTTTCTACTGCAGATCTCTTTTAAGCGATTTTTCATCCTCTCTTGAAAAGTTTTCTACCCAGGGATGCTCCTTGAGGAGTCGTAGAACCGAGTACAATACTAGAAAACTGAATGGAAGCAGCTGGTTGTAAGGCCCTTCCGAGAAACAGTTCCTCTGGTTCCTTTGGTGTTCTTGCTGG